CAACTCTGGATATGGTGGGGCCAGGTACATAGCCAGCCAGCCAATAGATAATTAGGCTACCCCGTTATCTATTGGCTGTTAGGTTGTTCAATCAAACTCTGCACGTTTCTAGCGTAACTGACTCTTTGGCGCGCTGGCATTTCTTTCTTCTCCCACACACTACACATACGCAAGATGCTGTTTACTCAACCAGCGCAGCGGTTCTTAGTGCTTCCTTGCAATTAACACAAAGTTTGTAGCGATGGCAAACAAGAATCCACAACCAGTGTGCTGTAAAAGAAAGTCCAATTTTAAAGTCGATGAAAGAACAAGAGAAGGGGAAAAAGAGCGAAGCCAAACTAAGGTGATCCTGGGAGATTCCTTCCAGTGATGGCGCGCACTGAAGCAGACGAAGGGTCCAAAGTCTGACGCGTCGGTCGCTAAATTACTTCTGGACAGGTAACTTCAACAGCAATTCATTCAGCAATTCTGCACAAGCACCGGCTGTAAACAAGCAGGAGTTCTAGCGTAAGGAGAAGGCAGGAGGAGGCCGGAGGAGGTGTTTTTACTTAGGGAGCTGTGAGGTGGGGAGGGGGTTGCTGTATTTCTCTTTCCTTGGAAAATCCTCTATATGAACTTTAATATTTTTGCTAAAAATATCACACGTGTTTTACCAATTTGGACATTTTTTAGGTTTAAAATCTTAGTTCCTAGTTGGAAATCGTGACAACACTCTAGGGAAGTCTGTAACTGTTACCTTGCAAAACTCCTTGTGTGTTTTCCACTTTTTTTATTTATGAAAGTAGCGCTCTTCCAGTAACAAATCCCCTCTCTTCTGTCTCTCACACAAACAGAAGTTCCGTAGTGCTCCTGACTTTGAAGATGAAGATTTGTCACCAAAATTTAGGCCTGTCATTAGGATTATTCTAAAATCAATGCGTTTTACATGGAAAATAGCTCCGGCCAAACCCACGGACAACATGGTTCATCCGCTGCAGCTCTTAAAAAGCTGTTAAATTTTGCAGGACAACTGTGTACTTGGCAACACTGGGTCTGTCCAGTCTTCCTTAAAGGTGCATTGTGAAACTTTTCTGGTGGAGAGCCTGTCAAATGCTTTTAGATGTTATTGGAGATGTTATTACATTGTCTGGAAGGTTTCACAGTATGGTATTAAACCTTTCTATCATCATAGAGACCAAACCAGACCAAGTTACAGGTCAGATTTGTGGAGAGGCGACCCCGCTCAGTCAGAATGCCTATTTTTCTAGGTATTTTTGAGCTTTAAAACCATTTGTAATTGAATAAATGTAAAGTAGAGCTGTTTAATGTCATACTGTGCCATAGAAACAAGCACGGGATGAACCTCCAACCAAAAAGTTCCACAGTGCACCGTTAATATAAGAGTCACATCCCTTGAGACCAAGTAAATAAATTGCATAAGCTGCTTGTTTGGTCCATTAAATTACGTAATAGACCTGTGTTTGTTATTGTACGAGGTTTGACAGCCGTGAATAATCCGACTAAATCTACCACTTAATTGCAAATGGAAACTGAATCGAGTAACATACTGTGGAAAATGTATGTTCCCACTTCCACCTGTGGCCCTGAACGCACCACACTCCCACCGCCATCTTTGTTTCCCATTATCGCCATTGTATCATTGTGTATTTGTTTAGTTTCGCAATTTTCAGGCCTGGTTCAGACTGGTCCAAAAATGTGCCATGACTGTGCCACTCTGATTAACATATAGATGAGAGGGGAGCAAACTGCCTTTCCAACAGTGCAGCTAAATGGGCCTGATTGGTTATTAATTAAGAAGCCAATTTAATGCTTATCTCATCACATTTGCATATTTGATCAGATTATGGCCCACTGTGGAGGAGACGATCTGGTGATTTGGGGGAAAGATAAAACAAAAGATGCTCAGATAGGACTGCTTTGTTGTCATTATGAGCTAAATGTTGACTTAGCTAATAGGGTGTGTTCTCAAATATTATATACATAGTGCCATCAGAGAAAACATGGAGCTTTAGGAGTAGGACCAGATCTAAACCAGGTCTATAAAAGGATTATTTCAGGTCTAAAATAGGGCTGAAGAAGTCTAGAGCTGGTTAGACCCATGAACTGTACCCCTTTTTGCTCATTGAATGTTCTTGACCATTTATTTTAGTTTTTTGTTAAATATATATGTTTTGAATGGTTTTCCAAGTAGCTTTCTTAAATTTTTAAATGTTCAAGACTAATGTAAAGTAATTCTAAAGTAACTCTAGCTCAAAATTTTTACTTAATTACATGTAACATCTAGCCAGGCCTGTGCCACCTAGTACCTCCGCTTAATTTCATTTCTCTCCAGCAATTAGGTCAGGAATCAAAATACAATAGACAGTTTGCAAAAATCCCGGAAGTGCAAGTTCGGGCACCAGCCAATCAGGGAAGAGTGATGTATTCAGTGTTGTCAACGATTTGAGGATTTAAAGGATTTAAAGCCGGAATAAAGAGAATGTTTGGTGAATTTCATCAAGGGGAAAGACGTTATGGCTCTTCTTCCTATGGGATTTGGGAAAATCTTAATATACCAGTTATCCCCGTTAGCGGCACATTATACATACGTCACAACCAAATAGCAGTGATTGGTTAAATAATAAAAAGTACCCGCCTACCATTGAGCGAATGAAATCTAAGACTGCTAGGTCAGGCGATTTGTACGAAGTGAAACGAAGTAAAACCGGCTGATGAATCAGGCTATGAAACATCAGGTACAGCCCCTTGAAGTCCTCACATTCAGCAATCAAAGTATTTACAAAACTCCTCCATCACTCATCATTTTGCAGTGTTCAATCTTTCCACTTTCCTCCTCAGAGACTCGTGTGGAGATGTACCGTGCATTTTTAGTCATTGGAGACAGTTCATTCTCATGCGTCAGGCCTGGTCCTCCTCTGAGTATTCTGACGGTCCACAGAGGGGGTGTGGAGGAGGAACTGAACTTCTTATGAATGCTCAATGAGACACGTGGCCGGATTTTGGGGTGTCTCATTTGATTTTATGTTTTTTAAGTATCGTGCATTCTCTAAAGCAGAGAGGGGCAAAAACCTGATTTACATTTGTATCCTTCCTGTGGACCCTGCCAGCTTTTACTAGTACATCATTTTTAATTATTAGGGGTGTAACAATATCCAAGTCTCATGATACGATATCGTCACGTTATGAACCTCACGGTACGATATTTATTGCAATATAGTGGGAAAGCTCAGGATATGGTGGGGAGACTCATGATTAGGGATGTAACAATATCGAAATCTCTCTGTATAATATTTTCACGATATACATCTCACGGTACGATATTTATTGTGATATTTTGTAGAGGCAAACAAAACTGTTAGTATGCTGCCTTTTCCTCTTAAAATGCCTTGACAAGACTTATTCCAAAGAACTAAGACTTAAAAGTGCTAGGAACTGTTATTTCTTCATGTAGTCTACACTGAAATGGAGCAAAGGATCATGGTCTACGTAGTTCCCGCTGTCTTCTTTTTAGCTATTGCGGCACCATAACTCTTAATTTAAGCAAGAAACCCGTTATCCGATATATTGTGATGGTCCGTGATATTACTGTGAGAACTTTGACAATACAATATCACGATATTTTGGTTATTGTTACACCCCTATTAATTATGATTTATTATGATAAGATCTTTGGGAAGCCGTGTGGGGCTCTGCAGCACTTGTGGAGCTACACCCACTTTGGTTTCAGACGAGTTGGTGTGAAAAGTGGGGGGCAAAGGACAGACTTTTAGAGGACTTTCACAGCAGTTGGTGCCAGAGACCTGTTCAGTGAAATGATCACCGTTATTTCATTTGTGTCCGGCGGGTGCTCTTGGCCGCAGATGGTCGTCCGTCTCTCTTCTTCCTCAGCTGACCCCTCCCTGTCGTGCATTGTGTAGTATCAAACCATTTCTTAATAATTTTCACTTTAAAACACAGGGTTCCCGCGGTCATGGAAATCCTGGAAAAGTCATGGAAATTGGAAATGTCATTTACCAAGCCTAGAAAAGTCATGAAATTTTGTAAATTCAATGAAAGTTTTTGGAAAAGTCATGGAATTTTAGTATCTCTTTCACGCAACTACAGCATTTTGTTATGTTATCATTAGACTATTATGATTATTTCTGAACGTATGCGCCTTTTGTTTAAAACAGACGACAATAAATGCACTGACAGTATTTTGAATGTTAAAAAACTATAAAACCAAACCATAAGATGAGTGGAAAGGGTTAACATTTTATATTTAGCCCTAAAAGTGTGATCAATTCTACATGTAGGTGCTGTAAAGTCATGGAAAATTCACTTTAGGTCATGGAAAAGTTTTAGAAATTTTGTCAGTGAAAAAGACTGGAAACCCTGAAAACATGATATAGTGATTACTACTATTATTTTACTCATTTATTTTTCGGCAGCACTAGGTTGCCGTACATTGCACCACACAGATGAATTTTCTGAGTACACGCCCCTCCACAGATCTGACCTAAAATGTTCCATAGTGCACTTTTAACACTGCTTTGTTTACATTCCCTCTCTATACCAAATTTGGGACTTTTGCAGAATAATATGAAATCATAACTTTTGTAACTATACGTTTTCCATATCAGGGAATATAATGAGTGTGTTATGCAAAAATATGGTAAACATCTGTGGATTAAGTATAGCTTTGGTACCTTGGCTGAGCATTTGATTGCAAATGTAGTTCTAGCATCTGCTCACTCATTCTCATTATCATACATTTCCCTAAAATAACTGAAAATGTCTCCATGTTTTTTTGTCTCTTTCCTCAAATATTATAATTTTTCAACTCTAAATTCAATGACCTTTTTTGTTTTGGATAAATACATCGTAAAAAGTGAGATGTTTTAAGGTCACACTGGTTGGTTTTCACAGAGATTAAATGTTGATGATTCATTATGACCTCAGCTCTTCCCAGAATGCACTGCGGTGTCTTAGTCATTTCTTCTTCTTTTGTTTTATTGCAGGATGGTACCGAGGATTCTCCACCAGGAAGCCAAATGTCAAGGTACGGACATTCTAAATAAAAACTCATTACATTTTTGTGTTATCGTTTATTTCTGTAACAACACAACAGCTCCGTGGATTCGTTGAAACTATAGTAAATATGTTGTACTATTTTATTCTAGACCGGCCCAAAATTCTTGTATTAATGTACCTAAATTTTATCATTTTAACGGGCTTGGACTATGTCATGTAGTAATACAGGAGGAAGTTTGCCACTGTGTTTTTAAACTCCATACACCTTCACTAGAATCATTTAGATCAGGGGTCACCAAACGTTTTTCTCTGGGGGCCACATTATCGCTCCTGACAGTGATGGGGGCCGGGGTTGGGTTCGGGTCGGCCGTATAACAGAATTGTTTGACCCTGATGACGCAGATTATATTGTTTGAAAACCACCACACTTTCTTTACATATCAGACAAACTGCACGGTCCTTACACTGAACAAAAAAATAATCGGCTGTCCACTGTTCTTTGAAAACTCTGCACTCTCTGTCAACTTTTCATACTTTAACACTTGCCATTTTACTGTCCTTAACTGCACTACAGAACTCAGAACTCAGAACTGCGTTGACTGTCACTGTTTGATCTCGAGCTTGTCAGGTGACGAAAATTCTGCGAAAATTCTGCCGCAAATATAAATATGTCATTCAATTATTTAAATATAAATACTTCATATAAATATCATTTTTTAAAGAATCAACAAAATACAAGATGCAGACCTGTTATTATTTGCCAGAAAGTAATAAAGAAAAAAATATATGTTCATAAAATGGAGGAAGAACTGCAAACTTTCTCACATTTTTAAAGGTCCTATAATATGCAAAATTGACTTTGTGAGCTTTAAGCCATTTTAGAATAATGTTGCCTCCTCAAAAACATAACTGGAGTTATGTTTTGTTTCATTCACACGTTTCAGTAATCTACATCTGTGTGTCTACATCTCAAAAACTCAGAATGCTCTGTTCCATCTTGTGATGTTCCAACTTGTGAAGTGGTAGTTTTCAAGTTGACATCTGCCTCTTACCTGTTTGAGAGAAGAACACAGCCTAGATATGCAGCGTCTGTGTGTTTAACAGACACAATGGGAATGAAACAAAACACAACTCCAGGTATGTTTTTGATGAGTAAATGAGACCGGCCTCAAGACCATTTTTTTAACGGTCTTGGTCTTGTCTCGGACACAACCATGTTTGGACTTGGTCTTGTCTCGAACTTGAAGGTACTTGGACTTGATCTTGTTTTGTTATTGAAGATACCTGGACTCGAAGGCGCTTGAACTCGGTCTTGTCTCGACCTTGAAGGTGCTTGGACTCGGTCTTGTCTCGACCATGAAGGTGCTTGGACTCGGTCTTGTCTCGACCATGAAGGTGCTTGAACTCGGTCTTGTCTCGACCATGAAGGTGCTTGGACTCGGTCTTGTCTTGGACATCAATGAGCTTTGACTCAACGGCGCTTGGACTAGGTCTTGTCTCGAACTTGAAGGTGCTTGGACTCGAAGGCGCTTGGACTCGGTCTTGTCTCGGACTTGAAGGTGCTTGGACTTGGTCTTGTCTCAGTGTTGAAGGTGCTTGAACTTGGTCTTATCTCAGTCTTAAAGGCGTTTGGACTCGGTCTTGTCTCAGTCTTGAAGGTGCTTGAACTTGGTCTTATCTCAGTCTTAAAGGCGCTTGGACTTGGTCTTGTCTCGGTCTTGAAGGCGCTTGGACTTGGTCTTGTCTCGGTCTTGAAGGCGCTTGGACTTGGTTTTGTCTCAGACTTGAAGGCGCTTGGACTTGGTTTTGTCTCAGACTTGAAGGCGCTTGGAATCGGTCTTGTCTTGACCTTTAAGGCGTTTAGACTTGGTCTTGTTTCAGACTTAAAGCCGCCTTGACTCGGTCTTGTCTCGACCTTGAAGGCGCTTGGACTCTGTCTCTCGGTCTCGATCTCAAGGTCTGACATTTGATGAGTGATAAAATGGGATAGATTTATAAAAACATTGATATATATGTGCCAAAATATAAATAAATATAAAAAATTACAAAGATGGCCTCGATTTGGTCTAGATCTCGATGTCTCGGCCTCAACCCTCAGATTTCTTGTCCTGGTCTTGAGACTCTGTGGTCTTGAACAGGTCTTGGTCTCGATCAGTGTGGTCTTGACTGCAACACTCAGTACAGCTCCTTTAAGTTGTTCTTATTCGATCAAGACTGTGGTGCATAACAAATCAGTACCTACTTGATATAACGATGAGAGTAAGAAATACTTGTAACCATAATTTGCGCCTACAAGGTCAATTTAAGCAGCCCTTCACATAAAGTGTTCTGACAATCTCCGTGAATTAAAGTTTAAAGCTCTATTCTCATAACCCTCTTTCACCTTCACATTTGTTCTGACTGAAAGTAGTTTTACATCTGCTCTGCTTTTATGAAACGGGGTAGTGGAATGTGTGGTTATGTAGTGGTTTTCAATGTTTTAAAATAGCCCCATTTGAGCATTGCTTTCTATAATGGCGGGCTATAATGGTACCGTGATGTTATGCGGGTGATAATGTTTGCCTCTTACAGTCAAATATGAGGGTGTGTATTTCAAATTGACTTTTTCAGCTTTCTACCATGTTATAATAATTTTACCTTATCAAAAACTTGCTTGAATAGTTTTTATTTCTAATCCATGCATGTTTGAGTAATCTAGAGATCCATCCTGGGCCCTATTCAAATGCTCTTTACGATTAGTAGTACATTTCTGTCTAATGATCAACCCATGAAAATAAAAAAAAATTGCACGGTTAATGGTGTTGTAGCCTTCCTGATTTTTACAGTCTTTAAAGCAGGGATGTCAAACTCAAATTCACAAAGGGCCGAAATTAAAAACTGAGACTAAGTCGTGGGCCAAACTAAATATTTATTGAAAAATTTCAACAACATCTGCATGTTTTCTCTTCTTTTGAGATATGTAATGTTAAACCTTTTCTTATTAGAATAAATGTTTAATAATAATTTTGCTAAAACCAGCTCGATGGGGTTTAAGTCTGGAGACTGTGCTGGACACTCCATGTTTTCAAGCTCACCATCTTGTTCTTTTTTTCCTGAGGTAGTTTTGGCAGAGCTTGGACTTGTGTTTTGAATCTTTTATCTATTTTTAATCTCTTACTGTTCAGTTCTTACCTTTGTTTCATTTCAAGCTCTTCATTGGACTTGTACGACTTGAATTGTAATAAATAACTGGAAAAATGTGGGTGTTCTAAAACGTTTGACCAGTAGTGTATGTGAAATGCATTTTGGGTGGTTCAGGCACTCAGTAAATACTTTTTTGAAAATCATTATTCAGTTGTGACTTTGTTGTGTTCCATCAAAATGATTAAAACATAAAATGAATGCTTTATATATCATAAGTGGACGTTTAAACCCTTAATGCCAAGTGTCACTATATATAACACATCATCTGCAACAAACCGTTAAGATCAAAATATAAACCGAGATAGCAGCTGCATTCCCACACTGCTGGTTAGTGCTTATGCAGGACCTTTCTAGGAACCTTTGGCAAACACTTGTTTCTAGTTGTCGCAAATTTGCAACATACCCAAATTTCTATTTATTTATTTAGTTTTTAGCTATAGTCAAATTAATAATCTCAGTTTAATTTTACCATCTACTTAAAGGCAAAAACACACACAAAACAATATTTTATATACATCTATATAAATTCAGCTGTTAAGGAGATAAATATAAAAATATAATAAAAATAAAATGTTTTGTTTTTGCACTCATCAGGTAGCCAGGTTGGCGCCACCTAGTGCCTCCTCTCAATTTCATTTCACTCCAGCGACTAGGTCAGGAATAAGAATACACTAGACGGTTTGTAAAAAAAAAAAAACAGAAGTTGTAGACGGTGGACCAGACAATCAGTGAAGAGCCAGACGTTCTGTGTTGTCAACGATTCCCGAGATTGAGGATTTAAGGTTGGAACAAAGAGAATGTTTAGTGAATTTTATCAAGGGGAAAGACGTTATTGCCCTTCTTCCTACGGGATTTGGGGAAAGCTTAATATACCACTTCGCCCTGTTAGTGACGCATTACATATGACCAAATAGCAGCGACTGGTTAAATAAAAAAAGTACCTGCCTACCGTCGAGCGAACGAATCCTAATACTGCGAGGTCAGATGGTTTCTACAAAGTGAAACCGGCTGGTGAATCAGGCTACTCATCAGGTCCCAACCAGTCCAAATAACAAAGAGAAACTCGATAAAGCGTGCCGTGCAAGAGTTTGGGTCTTAGGTTGTTAAAATGAGACGCAGACAGCGCACAGTGATCTCATTTTGACCCTGAAGAGCTGTTTTAAAATTTATCTGTACAGAGACCTTTAAGACTCTCTATATATTTGCAAAGATGAGCTTGTAATGTTGTAAATGTCATCTTAGCGTCGGTTTAACAAGTGTAAAACCTCCAGGAGGAAGCAGTGAGTCCAAGCCCGTGTCTGTGTGAGTGTGTGGAGGAGATCTCACTTCGTGTAGGTCACAGGAAGGACAATGGATTTCAGCACAGTGGGACCATAAACAAGAGAAGAACGGCTCTGCTTTACACCAACAAATCATAAATCAGCGGTATGCACTGAGCTGTTGTTTTAAATGCTCTGGAGTTTTACATTATACTGCCGTTGTGTCCTTGGGCAAGACACTGACTGATTGTGTGTGTGTGTGTTTGGTGGTTAGAGGGACGGTGTGATTAGGTCTTGATCTTATGTTTGTTCAAGATCAACTCACAGCAAAAAGGTCCTGGTGTGTTTACTCTTCTCTTGGGCCCAGTTCGAGTCCTAATGTAAATTTCCAGTCCCAGTTTAGTCTCGGTTTAGTCCTGGTTCAGTCTCGATTTAGTCCCAGTTTAGTCCTGGTTTAGTTCTGTTTTAGTTCGGTTCAGGCCTAGTTTAGTCCTTGTTTAGTCTTGGTCCAGTTCGAGTTCTTTTGTAAATTTCCATTCAAGTCCTGGTTTAGTCCTGGTTCAGTCCCTGTTTAGCCCCGGTTCAG